ATTTAAAGATCATATTTCAAAAAGTTTAAGGTCAAATGAATTGAAAGCATTTAGCAATGCCATCACAAGACATCTCCTTGACATAGGACATCAAGTAGATACACTGAAATCTTTCAAAATGGTTAGTTAAAAATTGAATTCAAATCGTCTGAAATTTGTCGAAGCTAAATTAAAATGCCTCACGAGGCATTAACTTGTAATCAAGAAGGGGAACAGTATAAAGGAAGATCAATGAACACTCTATATCGGAAATCAGAAGCAGATAACAAAAAGGATGAGTAGCAACTAAAAATAACTGGAAAAGATTTCCTGGGGCAAAGTTGAATAGAGAATACTAGTAGATGGCACAAGTCTATTCCACAAGAGATAACAATCTCAAATAATTAAATAAGCAAATGAATATACATACATTTCAGTTTTAATGTTCCAACTCAAACCCATAGTCAGTATCTTTCTCTTCATTAATTATTCAAATAAAATTAATTTGACTATATTCTAGGGATTAATTTAATTAGAGCATAAATTAAGTGTCATGGAGTATTAATAAAATAATTATATTTCTTTATAACCTTTTTACAATTCAATTGTGTTTTATTTTTAGAATAGTTCATTTTAAAAGGAGAAAGAGAGAGAGAGAGACGGGGGGAGAGAGAGGGGAGAAAGAGAGAGGGGAGGGAGAGAGGGGAGAGAGAGAGAAAGAGAGAGACACAAAGAATAAAAAACCTTTTTTTAATACTGAAAAATGAACAAAGTATCCCTTCTCCACATTAAACAGATCTCAGTTTTCTAAGAAAACAGTTTGATTATTTTTTTTTTGGCGGAAAAAAAATTTCAAAGAGTAATAACCTGACATTTAACAATTTTTCAAAGTTATAAATTAAAAAATTTTTCCTTTAGAAAAATGAAAAAAAAATGTTTTTCTACTTTGAAGATAACTGATCAAAATTAGGACCTTTATTTCATAAACTTGCTTTGATATTATACATACTTATATATATATATATATATATATATATATATATATATATATATATATATATATATATATATGCACTACACAAATCTCATTTGATTTGTGTGACGGATATGATACTTCTCAGGTTCCCGAACCGAAACAAGTAGTTTTCTTACGGGGCCACACCTGGAGCCTTCGACCTAAAGATCTGATCCACAAGGCAGTGGAGCATCGTGAGGAGATGCAGTCCCATGGTAGCCGGTGACCAATAATTGGTTCATACATCATTTGTTCCCTCAGGATACTGGAGCAAGCCCATGTGCACCATTGGTTTGGAATCAGGGTTTTCCAACTCCCCTAGGTGAACTTTACGTGTCCACCAACCCGGTTAATTCAACGGACATTCGCTTTTCGTTCTCTCAACTTCGAAAACAACACTTCCGCCATGAGAAGGCAGTGAGTCGGAATTCCCTGTTAGAGGCAATATACGCATGGCTATATGAAATCATTTCGTGAGGGAGAGCGGACTCTCCTCACTCTTGGCCGTACCAAAGCATTTGGGGGCAATAACTATATAAATTGTGAATTCAATTCTATATGAAGTCGCTTTAAATCCTACAGTAAGCACATCCACAACCCTGAAATCGGGAATCGAATTCAGAACTTTCGGTTTGTTGTGTAAAAGTTTAACCTCTAGATCTTTGAGCCAGGATCCGCTGCCGAGTATTCCCTGTACTAGGACGAAACGTTTTTTCAGTACTTCCATGTTTCCTATGGTGGTCTGATATTGATCTATTCATGATCTCGATCAAAAACTTGACAATCCCCAAAACTCTATACTGATATTGTAGTAAACAGAACACCAGTTGAAGGCAATCGAATGTATTTAAGCACAAATTACAGACTATCTCACTAAATTCTGTTAACCATACAGCAAACAGTTAACTTGCAAAATAACAATCAATTGTCTTAATCTTCACTGTTCCTTCTGTAAATATCAATCTATCTTCTCTAATTTCATTGTTTATGTATTTTCTTACCAATTGCGCTTCATTTTAGTTTTTTTACTTATCGATCTTTTGCCAAAATACATTCTATGTGTGACCATCACCATATACTACTTATATATGGATATAAGTAGACCACACTACAATATTTCATAATACTCTAATCTGTGATTATATGATTTAAAACCGGTTATATAATCCTTAATTAACCAATGAATTGGATTAAAACTAGTATTTTCAAATAAATAATGAATGAATTCATTCAGTTTAATAGTAGGGATTATAACTAAAACTACAATTTGGTTATCATTTCTTTTGTAATTATTCAAAGTAAGCAATTTCAATAAAATTATAGTTTCGAAAAGAAAAAGGTACAATTTTCATAGTTGAAATCATTAGTCAATTGAAGTTAGACCACCAAGGAAAATCTGGAACCACTGAACGGCCGTTTCGTTCCTCAGTAGTGCGCATCCACGATGCCGCCTTGTGAGCGAGATTCGAAACCAGGACCTACCAGTCTCGCACCAGAGCACTTAACTGACAGGCCACTGAGCTGGATGGCATTCAATGGTGTTAATGTTTAATTTCAACCAATCCACGAAGTTTGAGCAACCGTTCACTATTTGTCTTCAGTGAGTTATTATCTCATAACAGACGTGGCTGAACTCCATTGGTCACTGCTTCCTATTAGAACTCCAGGACATGTATTTTTAAGTCGGTCACTAGTGAGCATATGATCACAATCTCCATAAAACCTCTTTTGATTAAAAAGGTATCATCCTTATTTCTGGTGCAACTCAAATGAGTGTTTATCAGTTTGTTCATTTGGCATAAAGTATGAACTTGTAAGATAAATAATTTAAAATAAAGATTATGGCAACCATTAAACATAAATGGGAGAAGTAAACTTATAAACTAGATGTACTATGAAATAAGGAAGATAATTGATAGTCCAAATGAATACGTTTGGTAATATTACTTTTCCTAAGTTAAGTGGCTTCAAAATTAAACCAATCAATTGACAGAATATGACATCATCCGAAAATAGGCAATGTTTTTTCAATGATGAGTGATAATGGAGTACTCATGGTCTTCCGTCAGTTTATTGTTGATATTGAACAAATGATCATCTTTCATTTTTGTGTTCTTACATGTACCATTGAACATGTAATCTCATGATCTTAATAGTGTTCATACAATCTGATTACTTAGTAGTTAGCCTTCTGAATCTTATTGGGATCTACAGAACTTTCTAAGTAATAAAACATATATCATATATCGTCCTGGGTTCGAATCTCGCTAGGGCGGGATTGTGGATGCGCACTGCTGAGGAGTCCCATAATCGGACGAAACGGCCGTCCAGTGCTTCCAGGTTTTCAATGGTGGTCTAGCTTCAATTGACTCACGCTTTCAATTATATATCATCTTGATCATTCTACTTCAGAACTAGTCAATGTAGTCGATTTACAACTTAACACAAAGTCTAGTTTAAAATTTTCAGATCTCAATTTAGTTGATGTCATTTAAGGTCAGCAATTTTATGCATCACACCTAAAGATTATACTGATGATGTTGTTCAGAAGAACAATGAAAGTTCCACAACCATAACAAAACTCTACTTATATCATTCACTTGAGTTACAAATCTTCTCCATTATCTCAAAATCATATAACTGGATTTTCAGTTTGACAATAATACTTCTTGTATCCATTCAGATGAACTACATTATAAGTATGCCTTTGTAGTAGTTCTATGTATTCTACGTATTATTAGCTATATATAAAAATCAGTATTTTCATAGTTGAAACTATGAATCAATTGAAGCTGGACCACCATGGAAAACCTGGAAGCACTGAATGCCGGCTCATTGGTCTATCGAATAAGTGCTCTAGCGCAAGACTGGTAGGTCCTGGGTTCGAATCTCGTGAATGCGAGGCCGTGGATGCGCACTGATGAGGAATCCCACAGTAGGATGAAACGGCCATCCAGTGCATCCAGGCTATCGCTGGTGGTCTAGCTTCAATTGACTCATGATTTCCACCATGAAAATACTAAATTCTTCACAAAATCCCTTCTGATCAAAAATCAGTATGACAAGTCCGGTTAGCTCAGTCGGTAGAGCAAAAATCACTATATAAATCAGTATATTTTAGTCTATTCAAGACATCTTTTGTATGGATTATTTTGAAGAAGTGCTTTTGGAAGAGATAAAAGATCTTTATATTTTACATCAGAATTTCAAATTCTTATTTTGTGCTATCGAAAGTATGGTGATTCCCTATTGACAAAGTCTGAGCAGAAGAACTATGGATACAACATAAGAGTAATGGATATAACTGGAACAAAAACATTCCATGTTTTAAAAAATTCAACTCGGTCCCATGTGAGCTGACTGTAATATGTTTAAATATGATAATAAAAAGTGTTTTATTTGAGAAACTGTTTGCGAATATAACATTGAAATTAATTAAAGAAACATAATGAAAAATACAGTAAGAAGTACGTATATACAATTAGGATCGAAATTTGAAGCTAGAATTCATATCACAATGAGGACTCATGGAGATTGTATTGAGTTTAATAGTTGAATTCATGAGTCAATCTAAGCTAGATCACCATCGAATACCTGGAAATACTGGACAGTCATTTCGTCCTATTGTGGGACTCCTCAGTAGTACGCACCCACGATCCCGCCTCACAAGGTTCAAACCCAGGATCTATCAATCTCGCGCGCTATCGCGTAACCTGTAGACCACTGAACCGGATTCAACGGTGTTAATATCTAACTTCAACTAATCCATGAGTCGGGATCGTGGATTCGCACTGCTTTGGAGTCCCACAACAGGACGAAACGGCCGTCCAATGTTTTCACGTTTTCCATGGTGGTCTAACTTCAATTGACTCATGATTTCAACTACAAAATTACTAACATCTTCATAAAACCCCCTTCTGATAAATTTTATTCGCCTAGCAAACCACTAAATTATTTCTCTCTTTGAAACTTGAGTAAACTCATTACTATAATTACGATGACTTACTTTTATATTACTAAATGAATCCATTTTGCATATATCATACACAAGTAGAACAGCTGTATAACATTGAAAAGAAATAAGAAATCAGTTTATATATTATCAAGATGTAACGGTATAAAGACAAAAGTTACTCCCCAAACTTTCATTGTCTGATAAGTATAATAATGTACTCAATATTTTAGATATGCTTTTCCACTTTATCCCTATTCTATTACTTTTCATAGTTGAAAGCGTGAGTCAATTGAAGCTAGACTACCATCGAAAACCTGTAAGCATTGGACGGCCGTTTCGTCCCATTATGGGACTCCTCACCAGTGCGCATTCAAGATCCCGCACTCGCGAGATTCAAACCCAGGACCTACCAGTCTCGATCCAGAGTCCTTAACCGATAGACCACTGAGCCGGCATCCAACGGTGTTAATGTCCAACTTCAACTGATCCACAAAGTTGAGCAACCATTCACCGTTCAGTGAGTTGATATTTCACGACAGACGTGATTCGAACTCCACTGGTGACATATTCCATTACTGCTTATTAGAGTGTAACTTTCATTAAAGATTACATTTTAAGACCTAAATTACACTAAATCACCGATATATACGTAGTAGACAATTACTGATAAATGAAGATGCTGATCATGAAATCTTTATTACTTCAGTAATATATTGTTATATCTAAAGCTTTGATTCGTGCTATGACGCATACTACTATAGTACCTGAACGACCGAACCAGCAACGTAGCAAGACAGAAGACTAGTAAGTAAGAATGTATTTCTCAATACATTGTCAAATATAGTACAAAAATTTCACGTATTTATAGTTTTTGGCAGATAGTAAATCATCATTTCGGAAAGCCAATAGACACATAGGGGGTCCTTCTTATTTATCCAATAGGGAAGCTACATGTCGACATTCTAAAATATTCCTCTAGTGGTGATTGGATAGCATGTCTTCAGCTTTTTCAGGGCACCTTTGAGGCTTCCTTCAGTTTGCCAACGAGCCATTTTTACATATATATGAACAAAAAGCCATTCAAAAGTGCTATCTACAACATACTTATCAAGTGTTTACCATAACATGGATCACCTCAGCTCAAATAAATATATTTATAAAAAATCAAACTAACACTTACCATTTGTATCACGATAATATGATTTTGTTAAACTACGAAATTTCTCTTGTCCAGCTGTATCCCATATTTGTAAACGAACTAATTGATCATTAGCTTTTACTGTTTTTGTCTACACAACATAGAAGTAAAATAATTTATATAAGTAAGGGGGGGGAAGATCAGCTTGATTAGTAACTATTCTACTTTCATGGAAACGTGTAATTCAATGGTAGTTTACAAGCAATCTATTCAAAATGTACATATGATCATAGAGACAGGTTAAATGTAAACCTCAACAGGCTATAGGTTTATCGAATGATGTGATTGTTTCGCTTGAAATCACCCACCTAATAACTGTGTTATAAATCTTATTGTATAAAATATTTGAATGATATTTAGTGTTTACTATATATAGCAGCTTAGCATCATTGATGAACACGGTGGATCAGATGCAGATGTGTGGGCGAGGATCGGCAAAGCAAGAGCAGTATAATTACAACTGATAAACATCTAGGACTCAAAACAATTGTCAACCAACACCAAGGTTAGAATTTTTAATACAAATGTCAAGACAGTTCTACTGTATGGGGCGGAGATTTGGAGAACTACGAAGACCATCATGCAGAAGATACAGGTGTTTTTAAACAGTTGTCTACGCAAGATACTTCGGATCCGTTGGCCAGACACTAGTAGCAACAAGTTACTGTGGGAAAAAACAAACCAGATTTCAGAGGAGGAAGAAGTCAGGAAAAAGCGACGGAAATGGATAGGACACACATTTAGGAAATCACTCAACTGCGTCACAAAACAAGCCTACACATGGAATCCTGAAGGCCAAAGGAGAAGAGGAAGACCTAAGAACACATTACGTGGAGAAATGGAGACAGACATGAAAAGAATGAACAAAAAATGGATAGAACTAGAAAAGAAGGCCCAGGACAGAGTGGGTTGGAGAATGCTGGTCGGTGGCCAATGCTCCATTGGGAGTAACAGGTGTACGTAAGTAAATAAGTGCATATAGTAGCTGAATGCATTCAGTTATAGATTTGATCTAAAGCTGAAGAATGAAAGTATTCAAACAACTATGCGTTCTCGCCTTCTTTGGTAGGTATGTAGAAATCTGCCTAGAATAATTAGTAATGTAATTGCTTTATGAAAAAAAATCGGTTGTGGGACAATGAAAGAGGAAGGATGTTCCAGACTATTCACCTCATGGAGAGTTTCTATTGTTCAGTGATATATTAAATAACACTTATTCAGTGCTTCTTGGTTTTCACGGATCTGCACAAAACCAACTCATGTTAATGAATTTGCTACTTCATTAGTGACTCAATTTGAGTTCTTGAAATTATAATAGAAAGTGAGGAGTAGTGGATTATATAGGCATGTTAGGAATTAAATAGTTATTACCAATGACAATAGATAATCTTTAAGTTATACTGTAAATCACTTGATTTCGGAAGTGCACCATTGAACGTTAACTTAGTATGGTAAGCAAAGATGGATAGTGGCTAGCAGTGAAATCCAGGACGTGCGTTTCGCCCTATTTGGGACTCATCATCTGGATGTATCTGCATCTCAGAGTTGATGTTCACTCTGAGAGGAACTCGAACCCAGTACATTCCGCTTCAAACGCCATCGCGTTAGCCACTACCCATCTTTGCTTAAAATGCTTGCTATATCGAGGCAATACGCATAGTATGCACATATGCCAATTAGAGACGGACCAGTTGCAGTCCAAAAACATCGATTGGAAGATTCAAACAAACAATACTAAGTGAGTTAACTTAGTAGCTTTGATATTTAATAATTCGTTACACAATTTGAATTCTAAAGGTTCTGTTAATGAAGAGGTTGTGGATGCTCCCTATTAAGGATTCACATACTAGGATGAAACATTTGTCCATCAATCTGTAATGCTGTTTCTTGAATTCACTGGTAGTAATTATTTAAAATTAGAGTTAACTTATAAATACAGATATCCTCTCAAGGACGACTAATCAAGTAGTGAGCCATAAAAATAGAAAATAATTAAACAAAATAATGAATAATTTTAGGGATTTGTAGCGACTGTAGTATTTTCAAAGTTGAATTGACGAATCAATCTTATCTAGACTACTATTGAAAGAGTTTGAAGCACTGGATGGCTGTTTCGTCCTAGTATGAGACTCTTCAGTACTTCCAGAATTAAAATAGTTGTCAAGGTTAAATTAATTCATGAACGCAATTCTGATTGATTTCGATTGGCTGCTATAAAAGAAACTGTAATAATTATGATATCAAAGTTTATTTTTAGTCTTGGTCATTATGTTATGCCTAGATAACTTATAATAGCTTTTAAATAAGTCAATTTATCTATTCATCCTAAGTAGTCACGTTTCAACCTTATTAAGTATTCACTTATCAATCCTGACTGTATTATATAAGCGTGTGTGTGTGTGTATGTGTACATCCTATCCTACTCATAACAGTTCTGTAGCTTAATTTTTGTGTGTTTATAAATATTGATAAACGCTTGATTAAATTGAGTTGACTTACGTGACTTCTCCACTGCGCTCAGTTTCGCCTCTTCTTCGTTACCTACTCTACGTCTCTCTGATTGTTTATCCCGATCAACAACTGGACAAAATATACTTATTCGAAATCTATTCTCATATATAACTCATTTAATTTCTTTATTCACTAACGTGATTTGTCATTCAGTATATACGTAGTATATACGATGATTGGTGATATGTATATTTCAATAATAATTAATCATATGATATTATTGAAGTCAGATACCGAATTATAAAATATTTTCTCTAAAGACTGACAGGTCCTGGGTTCGAAATTTACGAGGTGGAATCGTTCATGAGCACTTTTGAGGAGTCTCACAATAGGACGAAATGACTGTCCAGTGCTTCTAGGTTTTCTATTTTGGTCTACCTTCAATTAATTCATGATTTCAATGATATAAGATATATTTGTTTTATCAACATATATGTTTATAGAGTTGAGATCATGAGTCAATTGAAGCTAGTTGAAGTTAGAAATTAACACCGTTGGATGCCAGCTCAGTGGTCTATCGGTTAAGGGCTTCGGCTCGGAACTGGTAGGTCCTGGGTTCGAATCCCGCGAGAGTGGGTTCGTGGACGCGCACTGCTGAGGAGTCCCATAATAGGACGAAACGGCCGTCCAGTGCTTCCAGGTTTTCCATGGTAGTCTAGCTTCAATTGACTCATGATCTCAACTCTATAAAAATACTAAAATCTCCATAAAACCCCTTCTGATATATGTTTATGTTGATAATGATAAACAAATATGAAAAATAACATGTAACAATCAATGTGACAGCTTAATGGACTTTCATTTTCTATTGTTTACTGACTCAGTATTGTTATAGTAATGATGAGCTTTTTATAAATTTTGCCTATTTTTTTCGGGAGGTAAGGGGAAAGAAGGGGGTTGTATTTAATCAAATTGAGATTTTGTTATTATCAAAATATTAATTGAGCAGAATAAATTATGATACATTGATCAACTGATTATGTTTATATTTCTCATAAATAGGTTATGTGATTATTTTGTTCATTATAGATTTGTGATTGAATTCAAATGGATTACTACTTTAGAGTAGTAGTAGTAGTAGTAGTAGTAGTAGTAGTAGTAGTAGTAGTAGTAGTAGTAGTAGTACAAAGTTTCATAACAATGTATATTGATAGTATGAAATGAGATTTAATCTAGAGTGTTTACACCTCATATTATCTATGACATTAATGATTTACAGTTTGTTACGTAAGTGGAAATTAAATAATTACTGAATATCAGAAGGTGTTTTGTTGAGATTTAAGTAATTTTATGGTTGAATTCATGAATCGATTGAAGTTAGAAAACCTGAAGGTACTAGACGGTCGTTTCGTCCTATTGTGGGACGCCTCAGCAGAGCAAACATACGATCCCGCTTCGCGAGATTCGAATCCAGGACCTATCCGTCTTGCACGTGAGCTTTTAACCTCTTAACCACTTAGCCGGCATTCAACAGTGTTAATATCATCACGAAACCCCTCTGATAATAATCTTATGCTCACTAGTGACTGGCTTCAAGAGATATTTCCTGGAGTTCTAGTGAGAAGCAGTGACCAGTAGAGTTCAATCAAGTCTGTTATGTGATAGTAACTCACTGAACACAATGGTGGACGCTTGCTCAATTTCATGGATCGGTTGAAGTTAGACATTAACACCGTTGAATGCAGCCCAGCTCCGTAGTCCAGAAGTTAAGCGCTCGCATGCGAGACTGATAGGTCTTGGGTTCGAAGCTCTCAAGTCGGGACCGTGCATGCGCACTGCTGAGGAGTCTCACAATAGGACGAAACGGCTTTAAAGCGGTGCTTCCAGGTTTTCCATGGTGGTCTAGCTTCAAATTACTCATGAATTCAATTATTCAATACTTTGTGATTCATTAATGGTACGGTTGATATTGTAACAAAAATCAGTTTCACATGGTAAAAAATGTGTTCATGTGTTCATTATGGATGAAGAGAAAGAGAGTTCTTGAAGTTCTACTTCATAGTTATGATTGATAGAGTCATTCACGTCACCCATGAAAATTGTTGGATATTAAGTACTTCATTAAAAACTAAGAAAGCTCATGAAGGTAGGTTAATTATATAACACATATAAACTATATCAAAACAGTATTATTGACAGTAAAATAAATTAAACTTTCTTACTTTATAATCAATCCCAACAGTTGAAATGTAACTACCCTTTAAGAAAATACCATCTTTAAAACGGATTAATAATGAAGTTTTGCCAACACATGAATCACCGATAAGAAGTAACTAAAATGTTAACAAAATAAGAAGAAAAACAAAGAACATAATTAAATTCACTTAGTAATGTTTTGTTTGAATCTTCCCATTGATGTATTAGGACTGTAATTGGTCATTCTATAGTTGGCATATGTGCACACTGTGTGTATTGCCTTGATATATTCTTATTTCACAAGCATTGTAAGCAAAGATGGATAGTGACTAGCAGTGGAATCCATAAAGCACGTTTCGTCCTATTTGGGACTCGTCATCTGGATGTACCTGCATCTCAGAGTTGATGTTCACTGTGGGTGAAACTCGAACCCAGTACCTTTCGCTTCAAACGTCATCTACTTATCCACTCATCTACTGAGTCCTAATAGCCACTTGCTTGTGTAAGTGTTGTTCGAAATAAAGTTAATCAATTATCAAATCAAATTCTCTGGGTAATGTTTTACTTGAACCTTCTCATTGATGTTTAGGGTCGTAATTGATCAGTCACTTATTGGCATATGTGCATACTGTGCATATTGCCTTAATTCTTAAGATTTATAAGCAAAGATAGTGGTTAGAAGTGGAATCCAGGACACATATTTTGTCCAACTTGGAACTAGTCATCTAGATTTACCTGCATATCAGAGTTGATGTTCACTTTGGGACTCAAACTAAGCACCGTTCGCATCAAATGCTATGTTATTCTCAGTCAAAGAATGATTTATAATTTGAGCAGTTTATTGTTAAACTGGACTCATTTTAAATATGTTTATCATTAGCATATTGATCTAAGTACAAAGCTTTGAGAAATTCTCCCGTTTTCTTTTTGTTCTCTCATTTCATAATCTCAACGTTTTTTCAAGTCGAACGCGTAGTCTATCTATATCGATATCAGTAGAGATGTATATTGTTATGTTTTTTAGCTAATTAACACTGTTGGATGAAGCCAAGCTCAGTGGTCTATCGGTTCAATGCTTTGGCGCCAGACTGGTAGATCCTGGGTTCGAATCTCGCGAGTGCAGGATCGTGGATGCGCACTAACACTGAGGAGTCCCATAATAGGACGAAACGGCCTTAAAGCAGTGCTTCCAGGTTTTCCATGATGTTCTAGCTTCAATTGATTCATGATCCTAATTATATATATAATTAATATTCATTTAGACAAATATAAATAAATTAGCCGAATTGTTCAATGTACTGTCTTTCGTGTTTAGATCATATCATTTTCTAAATCATGTTCAGATTGAATGTTTTCTGTCCATTATATCAACCCTTTTATGTTTCATATCATATATATTGATATCCAGGCAAAGATTATAACTGCCTTGTTAACAAAATTTCAAATAATATTCCCACCGTCACCATGATTTTAATAACCTAAGGTAGATTAGATTAATATCTGACTCGAAAAATGGATAACTATGATGTCGATTTGTAAAAAATTTATTTTTTGGTCAGTTTGTTTTCTAGTATTTTTTTTCTCTTTTTGCCTTCCCCCCTTTCAACCATAGGAACATGATGAAGCCTAGTAAGCCCTTCTGGAGAAGAATGCTACATTGAAGTACGGCACAACTACCAAGAATCAATAGTTGTTTTTGTATTACTTACACAAAATCATTACATCATTCTTTCTTTCATTTTGAACCAACAATAATTATGCAATGATTCTTTGTAGCTTTCGTAATCATTTATGGGTATAGGTAGAGTAGTTGATTAGGCCGATCTGCACCACTCGTGTTACGGCTCAAGTTAGATCATGGAAACAGTCCTATGAACCATGAGGCACGACAAGAACGTGTGAGTTGGGTTTTGCCTTCTCCATAACATTATTTCAACTGATTGTTTCTATATTATTTACTCTTAACTACTTATTATATCTGTTATGATTGTGTATGTTTATGACTGACTTCATTTTGTTGAATAGATTCAGATGAAATAGACATAAAAACACTTTAATTTATTTGGTTTCATTTGCTTGTATCTCCCAATAGTTGTTGAGGACTGAAACTCATCAGTTTCTTGTTGGCATATTGTCTTAAGTCACAAGTCGACGAGTCTCAAATATGATGAAACGCGCGTCCTAGATTCCACTGCTAGCCATCATTCATCATTGTTTTTAACCGACATTTTAAATTAGGACACCGACTAAACTTTGTAAGATTTTCATAGAATGATTACACCATCTAGGATACTCAATCGGTTCTATCTATTTCAGGCTTGTTTTAATCAATTAATTATGTTTCTGAACTAGATTATTCGATTATCTGCTTTTGTCATCGAAACAAATTTTATCACCCATCTCAAATACTAAACGTTGACGGATACTATTCTGTTCTGTGTATATGTTCCTGGCTTTCTTTAGTAAACTGAGAGTATGTCTATCTGTGAGGAAGATCGCATGCAAACCAAATTAATATTCATCAAAAAACCAGCTCAAATAAAGAATATTGTGTTCGTTCAATGATAAGCACGAAATCCCTTCGTGGTAGTAGTAGTAGTGTTACGAGCCACAAATAGAAAATGGCCAAATTATTTTACTAAGTGAACATCCTCTGCCGTATCTGATGTTCCTGAGTCAGACCCCTGGCACGGTTGGTGCATAAGCATTGACCAAGAGTTCTATAAAACGATGAAACAACTGTCCAGCACTTTTGTTATGTCCCGATAACAATAGTGAATGGTAACTTTGGGATCCATTTATGGACCAATATTATGCATATAATTTTTATCGTATATTTGCTAAATAATTAGACTATTCATATTCATATTCCTCTTATTATAAGTTTTATTTTGACTTATAGGCTATTATTATACGATTTACCATTCTTGAGTTATACCCAGTCTATTAATTGCTGCCTCCCACATTCACAGCTACATTTGGCTAAATCTTGTACAAATGTTATTTTCTATTTTATTAGTACAATGTGGTCAATCTGTTTGGTATATAAACTCAGTATGCTTGAAATACAAGGATTCATACCGCAGAGGCTGTTATTGGTGTTCTGGACTTAACTGGCTGGGCTAGGCAGAAACAGGACTGATAAGCACTCTAGACTGTTCATACAGTTTTCGTGTGTCACTATTACGATTGATAGTTCTCTGCTCTCTGAATGACGCTTTTATCACGTTATACATCAACTGGGCATCCACTGGACCACAAGTTATAACAACTTTATTGTTTTTAATAGTACCTCAAGTTAGATCAATATGTCACTAAAACAATCCACAAATTTAACAAATCTCTACAAAACTCCTTCCGGAAAAAAAATCGTTTTTTTTTTAAATTTTATTAAAAAACAAACTAAACTACTGACAAGTCCCCAAATAGGACGAAACGCACGTGAAACTGGATTTCATTGCTAGCCACTATCCATCTTTGCTAAACTACTGATCATTCGGAGTAATTAGTAACTTGACCTATATCATTTTATATAACCCAGGGTAAAGACAACTTTTTTTTTTAGTATATCAAAAAGGATAATTAATAATTTCATCTTGTCAAATTCAATTAATATTTGCCCTAAATAAGATTTGAAGATGAAAACAAACATACTACTTAATTGAAGAAAAAAAAAAATCTTTCCTTTAAAAGTCTTATGAAATTAAAATTATATTAATATTAGATATGTTATGACTTAATATCATTATCTGTCCATATGTCATAATAGTAATAATAATAATAGTAAAAATAATATTAATAACGAATATAATACTAATTTCTGATTAAGTAAACAAGAGAAACCAATAGTTGAGATCGTGAGTTCATTGAAGTTAAACCACCATCGAAAACTTGGAAGCAATTGAAGGTTGTTTCGTCCTATTGTGGAACTTTTCAGCAGTGCGCATCTACAATCCTAACTTGCGTGATTCAAACCCAAGACCTACCAATCACGCGCCAGAGCACTTATCTTCGAGATCACTGAGCTAGGTGGCATTCAACGGTGTTAATGTCTAACTTCAACCAATTCACGAAATTGAGCATTCGTCCACCATTGTGTTCAGTGAGCTACTATCACATAACAGACTTGATTGAACTCTACTGGTCACCGCTTCTCACTAGAACTCCAGGAACAACCTCTTGAAGCAAGTCGCTATTGAGCATATGATTATTATTAGAAGGGATTTTGTGGATATCATAGTAATTTCAATAATTGAGATCATAAGTCCAGTGCTTTTAGGTTTTTTATGGTGGTCTAGCTTCAATTGACTCACGATCTCAACTAATGAAATTACAATAATATACACAAAACACCTTTTAATATATCATTCATTTAATAAATTGGTGAATGAACATTAAAGTAACTTGAAAAAAGAGCATTCAATGGTAATGAGTCTGATGCAGATGTTAACGCGAGGATTGGCAAATAAAGGACCGCATTCATACAGTTGAAGAACATATGGAAGTAAAAACAACTCTCAACCGATATCAAAGTCAGAATCTTCAATACGAACGTCAATACAGTTCTACTATACTGAACTGAAACGTGGAGAACTACTGCAACTAAGTACAAGTATTTATAAAGTTATTTACGCAAAATACTGAACATTTACTGGCCAGATACTATCAGCAATAGCGTTTTATGGCAGACAGACCAGCTTCCAGCTAAAGAGGAAATTAGGAAAAGACGGATCGGGCATACACTATGGAAATCACCAAACTGCATCACGAGGTAAGTCCTAACTCGGAAACTTGAAGGCAATCGAAAAAGACGAAGACCAAAGAACACATTACTCCGGGAAATAAAAACAGATATGAAAAGGATTAATAGCAACTGGAAACAACTAGAAAGAATTGCCAAGTACAGGATTAGATGGAGAGTGCTGATGTGCGCCATATGCTCCTCCACGAGGGATAATAGGCCTAATTAGATAGGTAACTAAAAAACTGATTATTTTCACGAAATTACAAACAAAATCAGTAACGTTCGTTTGGTTCCTGAGTTGGATGATTTAGTTGTAAAGATTTCATCATTATTCTAAACGACATTATCAGCTTAAACCATCTAGCTTAGAGAATAAAACTTTATCAAAAATCA